AAGTTAACCAAGATTGATGATACTATTTTTCAAAGCATGTACATAATAAACATCTAAGATGTATTTCTTTTCACCATTTTTTGAATAATCATGACTTCTACTTTGCCTTTGACTTCTACGTGCGAGTCGTCATCAAAGATTACTCTTTCATGGATTGTTTCATCTAACTTCACGAACAACTTCTTTCGACCACACATGTGGTTGCTAACACAATTATCAAGATACCAAATATTATTCTTGAACTCTTCATTTCCTTTGTAAGTGGGGAATACATGAGATTTTTCTACTTTTTCTTCTTTAACTGCTGTTATATTATTTCTTTATTCTAGTTTAGAACTTGATCTTCACTCATAACTATAGTGACCACACTTTTTTCAATTATAACATTGTACCTGTGATTTATTTTCTTGTTAATATCTGCATCTGCCTCTGAATTCTCGTCTACGGACTAATGTTTGATAATTTTCACTTGTTCGAGGGGTGTCATATGATCAACCCCACATCCCCGAGTTCCTTGTTCACCTCTGTATCTTCCATGATAACCACCACGATTTCCTCGACCTCATATGTAGCTGCTACTGGCTTTACCTTCATTGACATTCATCTTGCTTTGCATAACTTGCTCTAAATTTTCAGTATCTTCATTTTGTTTCATCTTCTGTTTATGGGCTTGGAGTGAACCCACAAGCTCATCGATCGGTATTTGAGACAAATCTTTTGATTCTTCAATTGCCACGACCACACAATCGAATTTTCATGTCAATGACCTCAAAATATTTTACATCACTCTAACCTCGTCAAGTGATTCAACATTTTTATTCATTTCGTTTACGACCGTTTTTACACGGATAATATAATAATCAATACTTTCTTTATTTTTCATTTTCAGCACTTCAAGCTCAGCTCTTAAGGATTACAAGCGTACATTTTTTGTTTTTTCGGCACATTGAAGAGATTTTTACAAAATCTCTCACGCTTGCATCGAAGATTTTTTCAAAGGTAGATTCATCTACTCATTGAAAAATAAAAATAAAACAACATTTTCTAATCTTTTTTAGGATTCCTTCAGTGTCCTCTTTTCTTCATTAGTCAAAGGTGCTTCTATTGTTGTATTTTTTGGCTCGACGTAACCTTCTTCGATGATATCCCAATAATTTTAGGAACCAAGTAATGCCTTCATTTTAATATTCCAATTGTCATAATTCGTCTTTGTCAATCTAGGGATTTATGGTTGAATCATGTTAGTTATCTTTTTCGTTGCGCAAACTTGAACCAAATTCTGATACCACTTGTTGGAAGCGTGAATGAGCACTTGGTAATTTATAATCCACATCCTATTATTAATCGAACCAAAATACAAAAAATGATACAAATAATAGATGCAGTTAGTTTACAAACACAACTCTGCAATCAAAGCTTTACTAAGCTTCACTATCTCTATCGCTTTTTTCTTTTCACTCACATCCACATACATATATAAACTAAAACTATCAAAGTCTTTTTATTGGCAATTTAACGCCTAAGTATTTTGCATTTCCATATCTTGTTTCACTTCAATTCTGCAACCTTTTCTTTAATTGATAAGTTTTCATATATAGTTGCCACTTCATCACTTTATTGCTACCGTCTTGACATTACTTTGTTGTAACTTCATCATTTTTCTGTTACCATACACATTAATCTATTACCATGTTTTGGTGTGTTTTGCTGTCCACTTATCCTTAATAATTAAGTACTCGTTTGGAAGCTCCAAAATCATCATTTTGCTGCTGCAAGTGCACTAAATTATTGCCACGTTAAACCTTGTGTTGCCATTTTAGTTTTCCAAGTAGCCACTTCAATATTCATGCAATTCTTGCCAACATGAATAAAATATCAGGTTTGAATTCTAACATTGCATGCATGTATGTGCTGAGCAAAAGGGGAAATTCACCAAACAAAGCCTGAACAGTACTCGGCCACTAGCAATGGTCTCCGATTGCCATGTCATGCCATGCCGTGCAAAGCTCCTTTCTCAATACGCTTTTCAGTCAAGCGTCAAGGAAGCAAGAGTGTGCGGAGCTCAAGTCCGAGAAAGAGAAACTCGTTGGCTTGCCACAACAAGGGGAGTGTGCGAGCTTGGACTTTTACGAACGTCCCACATGCCGCATGATCGATGATCCTGAAAATGTCCTCCAAATACCACTTTCTTTTGTCTTCAAATGCTTCGATGATGTTTGCGAAAATCGTCAAAGAAGGTCCAATAAAAGGTTCAAGCAGTGGCCGCGCGGGTGGTGCCTGCGTCGTAATTACCCCAACTGTCAAGATTTCTTTGCTTGGCATAACATAATCCGATTGCTTATTAATCATTTGACCTTCGAAACAATGCAAGAACATAGCAAAAATATGCAATTGCTCATCAAATTTATTATCAGCATCAGCAGAATGGTTTGATTTATGGAAGATCCTCTTCTACAAAGGATTATAGGAAGGCAATGGCAACTAGAACTTTATAAACGTAGAGCATTGCTACATATCTCCGCTTTCTTAGAAAAAGAAACTGATGAGCAAGGATTCAAATTACAGTCGCGGTCGTGTTTTTGGTCGCGTTGTGTTTATTGCGGCCGCGGACGTAACGGATGCTATCGCGGTCACTGCAAGTATCGCGGATGTGAATTTTTTTTAAATTCGCACGACTTATTATAAAATATAGTAATTATAATTATTATTATAGAAAATCACTTTTAATGGTTTTTAGAGTATTTTGTAAAAAAAAAATTATCTCAAACGCCTAATTTCGTTTGTACAATAAAATTGAAAGAACAATCAAAATACAAATCGATGCCAAACAGTATACTTTTCTATTACAAATTCAATAGCTCAAATTACAACACAAATTAAGACAAACCAAACATGAACTCATTTAACCCAAACCCGGTTAGGGCCCGTCCAGCTTCTACTTCAGCCATCCAGCAACCTATTATGCAAACAAGTGATTCCTCCAGTAACCAACTAGCACCACTGTCCTCCAGAAGCTTCTCCAAAGATGCTTCATCAGAAATTCATGCAAAAACAGAGAAAAAGGAACCCTTAAGAGAGGCAATGCAGTTTGCTCGTTCAAGGATGAAGCCTTCATCTCCCTCGAACTGAACAGTGAACAGAGAAGCAGATGAAGCAGACGCCTGCCGGAAGTATCAGCTCCAGCTGTGGTAGTGGTGGTGAAGGGAGTCAAGCTGGACTTGCCCGCTTCCGCTCACCTTCAACCACCTGGTTGGAAGCTCTTCTCGAGGAAGACGAAAAGGACCCATTAACGGAAAAAACGGTCGTTATTACCCGTTAAATTACGGAAATTACGGCCGTTGGGTGTGATTCCGTTTCACACTGTGATTTCGGCTGATATCGGTAACGGGAGCCGCCGATATGAGTTACAGTTTATTTAAGCTATGGAAGAAAGGGATATTGCTGAATTCTCTTGCTTGTAAGCTCGTTGTTGATCAGCTGTTGAAGATAATCAAGAAGGAAGAGTTGGAACTGTCTAATTCCTGTATGAAGGAAAATCGGAATTTGGCAAGGATGTTTAGAGCAATGGAAACAAGGATGATTTCCCCATTGGTTAACATCATTATGAGAGGGAAGATTAAGTCTCGAAAGTGGGTGCAAATCATTTGATTCAGCCGGTTTATTACGGGGAACAAATTGCTCGACTCTCATCATTAGATTTCCTATGCTATATGGCCCTCCATGTTCCAGATAGCCAAACAATCTGCAATCATACAGGATCCAGGATGATACATCAGACACACTTTTACAAGAGCCCAAAAGTAAATTGGAGTTGTATCAGTCTAGAGGCTCGAGGGGATTTCATCGACTCAGTCTTCCTCGAACCCGTTCTAATGGAGTGCACATACAATATTGACCTTCGGTCATGTATTGAGTTTATGCTCCTTTGATGTGTCCTCACTATTTTCCTTGAATCGAACGGCTGGTGTAAGACCAGAAAGGAGTTCATATAGTCTTTATTTAAGTAGGAAAATAGTTACCATTGACCTTTGTTTCCTTATAAGATGTCAACTGCTTATATTTTTTGTTTGAATTTCCTCGTACACTCAGGGCCGCTAAACTCAAAGATTAAAAAAAGAACAATTCTAGTGCAGTTTGTTTATGTCCATTGGTCTAGAATTGGATAATATTAATTAACAAATCCCATTTCCCATTACCATCAAGTTGCTTGCTTGTATATATTCACGAAGTAATCCCAATTCAAGGTTAAGTGAGCTGAACAAAGATCACCCACTTGCCTAATTCTTTATATGTTTTCTTCTCTCTGCAAAGAAAGCCCCTTGCCCATATGTAGCAGCCAGATACTGTACTACGTTGAACACATTGGAGCTAGATTCGAGCTGATAATGATATTTTACAAGCTTCAACAAACCCAAGTTTATACCCACAAGTTTAAAATAATGACAAGTTTCACAAATCATCCCCTGCTACCAACTTGCATATCAGATGAGACGTCTTGGATGAAATTATGTTGCCTGCAAATATGAGACTCCTTGATATGTTCATATACCTGTCAAAATCTTAATCTCAAATTGCAAGTCTGATGGACTTGATTTGTCAATTTGTATATGATGAATTTGGGGCCGTCCTTTCTGTAACCTCAAAGGGACAGACAGATTCCCAATGAGCCTCATGAATACTTTCAAAAGCCTATTTAACCATTGATGTTTTCAACTTATTTTTTTTTAATATCTGTGTATTTTCTGCCTCTGAAGTCGGCTTATAGCGACAATTTGTTTTGGTTGTCCTAAGTAAGCAGAATAGTAAATACATTGGACAGTAATGGCCAACTTAACAATTTGCAGGTTCAGCATGTGCCCTCAGCATACATGCTTATTTTCAAGACCCCACTGCCCATATATCTTCAATAACACATCACATGGTACCCACATTTATTCAAGCTTTTATGTTCAAATTACCTTCTATATATACATGAGCATTCTTATTACACCCCTGCCCCATCTTATTCTAATTCTTTTTCAGTCTTCTTTTAGTGTTATTTCTTCTGTCCTACTTATTCAATGGCTACTGTTCAGATTTCCGCTGTGTTGGTTATGTTCTTCCTTCATCTGTTCTCAGGTTTCAATCTTCTTTTCCAATTGATCTCTCATTGGTGTTCTTGTTCTTTTTCTTGTCGGTGGTTTTAGTTCGTGTTTATGTTCTTGTTACAGGTGCTCGTTCGTCGACGTTCACGGTTGTAAACAAATGCAGCTATACAGTTTGGCCAGGGGTGTTGTCAAGTGCTGGTATCCCACCACTTTCAACCACTGGTTTCATTCTTCAATCAGGGCAATCAACATCCATCGATGTTCCAACGTCTTGTTCAGGTCGGTTATGGGGTCGAAATCTTTGCACCGAAAACTCTTCCGGAAAATTCTCTTGCCTCACCGGAGACTGCGGCTCATCTACACTAGAATGCTCCGGAGCTGGTGCCATCCCTCCTGCAACCCTTGCAGAGTTCACATTGAATGGTGCCGGGGGATTGGATTTCTATGATGTTAGCCTTGTTGATGGATACAATCTACCGATGATGGTTGTCCCACATGGTGGAACGGGATGTAACTGCAGCTCAGCTGGATGTGCTGTGGATTTGAATGGCGACTGTCCTCTAGAGCTCAAGGTGGTCGATGGGAGTGAAGGTGTGGCATGTAATAGTGCATGCAATGCTTTCAACCAACCACAATATTGCTGCAGTGGAGCTTATTCTACTCCGAATACGTGCAAGCCAAGTTCCTACTCGAAATATTTCAAGACCGCGTGTCCTACAGCTTATAGCTTCGCCTACGATGACGGAACCAGCACCTTCACTTGTGCCGGTGCCGATTATGTTATCACTTTCTGCCCTGCCCCTTCCACCAGGTTGTTTTGAATCGATTATTAGACCTAAGTTGCAGGAAAAAGACGGTGATTAGTTGGCTAACGTTAATGCTTTGTTAGTGTTCGCCAACGGAGATGACTTACATTCGTCTCTATTTGTTCATACGGATGTGCAATTTTTTATTATTACCTTTTTATTCATGTTGCTATTCTGATGACAACCATTTAATGAATTGTTTAGTTAAGGTACATGGTGTGGGTTTGGCCGTCGCAAACTAAACTATTTTACCAGACGCTCTTAGTATTATATAATTTATTACATCTAATCTCATGTTTAAGTATAATTATAGATTAAGTCTTAATTTAACTGATATAATTATTATTGCAATATTTATAATAATTTGAATTTAAATATATTTAATCACATATTATTTTTAATTTAAATTTCTGAAAAAATTAGATAATTTATAAATATTATATAAAAATATAAATTTCAAATTTGAGTTAAATTCATAATATAAAATCTTGAACTTACTAAATAAATTTTATATCCTCCCAGTGAGTCCAAAGCTATCAAATATAACACTGGTCAATAATCTCTAGAGAAGATGATTGAAAGCTCTTAGTTGATACTTCCCTTCTCAAATAAGTTGTGAGTTCAATACCCATTAAACACAAAATTCTCCTTTCCCTTCCTTTAGTTAAGAAGTGTATATATATATATATATATATATATATATATATATATATATATATATATATATATATATATTTTTATCTTAATTATAGAGAAGGTATGAAAGATAGATTCTAAATATTTATAGGAAATTATAAATAATTTATTATTGAATATTAAAATTATATTTGTATCGATGATTACATTTGTGAATTAACACTATAACTTTGATTTTTTACTAGTTCTTTAACATAAATTGATTTTTCATATTTATTGCGCTTTTATTTTACTTAGTTTGAATTATAGAATTATTTAAAAGATATGTTTAGTGATTTTATTCTTGTTGCTATGCCTGATAACAATTATTTAAAAGATTTATTGAGTGTAAAACACATGGTGTGGTATGGCCACAACTCAACCACAAACTTGAACTATTTTACGGATGGTTATTAATAATTAATTGTATCTCATATGATGTTCAAGTATAGTCTCTTTAAAATTTTAAATTCTCATATAATTTGTGTATTTTCTTTATAATTTTTATTGATAATTTATTTTTATCCTAAAATATTATAAGTCCGTCTCCTTAAAATATTACAAGTTCATCCCTTAACATAAAATATTGTGTATGTTTCTATGTAAAGGATATTACATCCGTCTCTATGCCTGTTTCTATGCGTAGGTACTCGAGTCGTGGATTACAAAGAATGAAATACTTTCCTCATAGAATAGAGGGATAACTACAAATTTTGAATATGAACAGCGAAATAAACATGAAAAAAAGGGAATATTTCATGCTAAGTTTCAGTGCAATCATCCATGTTTCATTAACAGGGAAGTCACTATGACAAGGATAAATTAAAGGGGGAAAAAACATCACAAGTACTCTTTCCGTTCCCTACATAATGAAATGAAAAAATAGCAATAGAAGTTGATTTGGCAAGTGCATGTACATGTGAGTCATGTTCTCTTTAAAGATGACAACAATAGTGCACATATCTGCCCACCACATGGTATCAACCGGAAAAGAAAGTTTCCAAAGAACAATTCATAGACACATATGTGTAGGTGATGGGATGAATACGGCCACTGCTGTTTATCTGGTGATTCGTATTAATAATGGATAACAATGATCTTTTTCGTAGCCAGGCCAAGACTCGTCTCCATTCATGAACCGTTGATGATGCTTCCAAATTTCAGCGTCGTAGATCTCTGTTATACTGAAAAGCAAGTCTTTCCCCTCGATTTCCTCCAGAAACTTATCGAGTGAGTTGCCTCTTTTTGGGCTGAAAAATATAGCTTCAGAGTGCCCCTCTTTTTTCAACAGGAGCTCAGTTATTCGAGCAAGATCTTTGTGGAACTCCTTGAAAAAGGTGCTGTTGAAAATCGGTCGTTAAACTAAGAATAAAAAAGAAGATAAGTACAAGGACAAATGCAACATATATTTTTTTTATCCAATAGCCTCACTAGATCAACTATAAAATTCTCGACTAGGAAATAAACTATGGATCAGGCAATGCCGAGATTGGACTGACTGTGGCCAGAACTCTGAAGCTATATGTAGGAAAGGAGAAGATACAATTTGCTAATCATAAAACACTTACAGCATAGTCAATGGTAAGTCATGTAGTCTTCGATATTTGATGATTCTCTTCACTTTCATGCATAATAAAAAAGGATCGAGCATGATGTATGTGCTATTCATTACATATGACAGATAACAGGCATTACCAATCACTTGCAACGACGACGTCAAAAGTGTGTGAGAGATTTGAAACTTCTTTCTGATTCCAGTGCAATTGCATGGACTTCACTCTTGTTTCATCAAATGCTTTGGAGTTTGTGTTGATATTATACAGAATATCTCCACGTTAAGGAACCTCAAAACACATATAAAAGTGAATAAGAATGAAAGAAAAGGAATTACATGGACAATTGTTTCCAGAACTAATAACATAACACAAAAGAATCATTTATATTCCCTGTTTAAATCATTTGTGTCCAAAAAGACAAACAAATTCAAAATTATAAGAGAACCAAAGATTTTAAATCAATTATGTTGAAATAAGAAACGGCCATTATGATTGTTAAATGCTAATCGTTTAAAACACAATAGCAAAAACAGATAAATTTAGGGCTGCATGATCTATTTTCCAATAGGCTAGCTGATTAGAATCTCAAGAATCATTCAAGGTCACCTTTAAAACTTAGCTCGGCAAGCAACTAGGCGCTAACAGTAAAGTTTCTCATCAATATCATTACCATTTTTATGCAGACTGTCGATTCATTTCATTAGCAATTTATTAAGCATAATAGATGCAACAATCACAAATAGGATGCATAACTGTACCAATCCAAATAAGCGGTAACATATCAGGTCCACTCAACCACATTTCCCTCAGCCGTTTCTGAAACAAAGTCTGTATGTCTGACGAAACGAAAAAACTCGACTTCACTTTCATACAGAGTCTATCTAAATGTCTCGGGATGACAAACTATTTTAAATGGGCGACTTTCAAATCCACATCAGAATAACATATTATTCATTTCCAAAGAGATTACACTAGAAACAATGCTCATAAGCCATTAAGCACTGCGTACCAGAAACTTTTATATTTCACACAAGGTTGTTAAAGAGTGAAATAAAAACAAAATATAGGCAAAACCAAAACTTTGTTGTTTAAGTGTTTCCTTCTATTTTGCACATTAAACTAAGATCTTTTTTTTCATCTTAACGAGTTACATGATGAAGTCAAAAGGATACAATCAACCACTTGAGGATTTCCATCAGAAATCACTACTTCTAATGCCTCTGTGGCTGCAGCAATGGCTAATCCAGCTAAGCCGTAACCTGATCCAAGCTCGATGACTCTTTTAGACCTGAAAAATTAGAAGAAGAATGCAGAGATGTTATGAAAGTGCAAAGGAATAAAGAATAACTCCCAGAACAAGATAACAGCCAAATCATGATACCATCCTGGTTCTCAAGCTCAAGTGATTTTGTAAAAGAAAACCAACAAGCGTACTAACCTGAACATATCTGCATGAGATAAAGAAAAATAGGCAAGGACATCTTCAGATGGCCACTGACCTGTATATGAACATTTAAAATGAGAAACGAAACAAATAAGAAAGAAACAAAAAACTTGGCACCCTAGACATTTCCAAAGAAATGTTCATGCTGATCTCTAACAAGCATTGAAATCTGAGGAAAAGAGGTGTCGCATTCCTATCATTCCATTTATCTGTCAAAGATTTCCAACTGCTGAAATACATAATAATAATAAGAGTGACCACAATAAACTAACTTATGGCCATAATTATAAATACAGAGAAATTTGCTATATTTCTTTGTTTCAATAAGTTAGCACTGTCAATCCACCTCGCAATGAACCAGACACAAATCTTCCTCTAAGATAACCTTGACAACAAATATCAGGGGGAAAAGTTCAAAATTTTAAACTACTAAAGATGAACTGATAAACAACGGGTTAAAAAACTCCAAAAGAAAAAAGGGTAAAAGCTTACAGACAAGTCCAGTATTGTCAATGTTGTGTCTATTACAAATCTCAAAATCACTGAGGTCGGCATTATCATCCATTCTCTGACTGCATCAAGTTCAAAATACAACGAACACGTTCAATGCTAGAACACTTCCTTTGAAGCTTGAGTTTCAGTATTAAGCAAATTTGAGAAGAAGAAAAACCAATTTTTAGCCATAGATTTTAAAAGATTGGTTTCTGAGCTACCAAAATCATTTCAAAACAGCAATCCACTGTTTCAGCAATGATAATTCATTAAAAAAAAGTGTTGAATTCATTGACTCTCCACCAATTGTTCGAAGAAATGGCGAGAAGAAAAAGGGCAAAAAAGGAGTATATGAAAACTAACGTTAAAACAAGCTTGGGACATCCGTGAATGGGCAAAGTGTAGCAGAATCGGGCATCTCTAGACTCGTGATCACGATGGAGCAGCTGACACGGTATCAAGTTGAATCCTTTTGCTGCTTTTCTGGAAACGAGCTTCAATCCCAATTGAGACTCACCTTTTAAACAATGATTAAGATCAGTAGTCAAAGCTAAACACGGCAATTAAAAACAAATAGAGATCAGTGGATTGAAAAGGGTGCCTGGATTCTTGGCGCGGGAAAGAACAGCCCGTCGAAGGATTCTCCATCTCAATGAAGAAACTGAAGGGTTCGAACTTGCACTGTTACTGTTAGTTTCCATTGAACTTCCTAATTTGTGGCGACAGATTTGTTGGCCTCGAAATTATAGCAATATATTAGGATTGTCTCGAGAAAGGCGGTTACTGTACGGTGTTATCAGATATATTATAATATATTTAATAAATTTGGTTTAGCGTTACCGGAAATATTAGTAATAATAATGTAGTAGGTCTAAATCATGAAGAAATATTAAAAAATTTGGCAATCGATAAACTTAGATTGTCTGTTTGTGTCGATACAAAATGAAAAATGTATCGCTCCATAGCAATATTACATGTAAATATATGATAAAACCGGTCTCGAAATGACAAAATCGGTAAAACGATACCGGATATATTGAAAGTGTCGATAATTTAATATAAGTATCGACACTTTTGGAATTTAAAAGAGAAGAAGTTATAGCGCCTATAAAATGTCGATACTTTAAAAAAAATATATCGATCCATAACAATATGACATGTAAAAATATGACAAAACATGTCTCAAAAATGACAAAACCGGTAAAAAATACGGGATATGTTGAAATGTCGATAATTTAATATAAGTATTGAATTTTTTTGGAATTTAAAAGAGAAGAAGTTATAGCGTCTATAAAGTGTCGATACTTTAAAAAAATGTATCGATCCATAGCAATATAATAGCTAAAAATATGACAAAACCAGTCCCAAAATGACAAATCCGGTAAAGCGCTACCGGATATGTTGAAAGTGTCGACAATTTAAAATAAGTTTCGACACTTTCTGAATTTAAAAGAGAAGAAGTTATAGCGCCTAAAAAGTGTAGATACTTTATGAAAATATATCGATCCATAACAATATAATAGCTAAAAATATGACAAAACTGGTCTCAAAATGTCAAAACCGATAAAGAACTATCGGATATGTTGAGAGTGTCGATACTTTAATATAAGTATCGACACTTTTGGAATTTAAAAGAGAAGAAGTTATAGCACATATAAAGTGTCGATACTTTAAAAAAATGTATCGATCGATAACAATATAACAGGTAAAAATATGACAAAACCGGTAAAGCGCTACCGAATATGTTGAAAGTGTCGATACTTTAATAAGTACGCGTAATAAATTATCGATACTTCCAAAGAAATAGGTAAATATCCTATCAAAAGTATCGACACTTGACAGTAAAGTATCGACATTTAGGTAGTTGTATCGATTAAATATAAATAACATATCCAGTGTAAATATAAAGACATAGCTAAATTTCTTTTGAAAATAGATAGAGTTTTTGAAATCGAAACGTAATTGTTGTTGCATTTCAGAATGCGTTTTTACGGCAAAATTTTGTTTATTTGTTGTTGCAGTCGAATCGAAAGGTATGTTGTTGAAACCCTAGTTTTTTATTATTACAGTAATCGAGAATAGGGTTTTTATGTGTTGTTGTTTTGGGTTTTCGAAGTAAAGAAGCATTTGAGACCGAATACATGTAGAAAGTGATATTCTAAGTAGATGATAAATATTGATACTTTTATTTAATATTATAGGCAAAAAATTATATTATAGGTAAAAAATGATATTACATGTAGAAAGTAATATTCTAGGTGGAAAATAAATATGGATATCTGTATATAATATAATATTATAGGTAGAAAATGATATTTTAGGTTGTATAAATGTGTCGACACTTGTTGTAGTGGCCATTTAAATTCTTTTGAAGACCAACTGTTTTACCACAAGAGTGGTTATTAATTTTTTTTATATTGAATATAAAGTATATGTAAGCAGTATTTGATTTGATTTACGCAAACTGATATATGAAGGAAAAATGAAATTAATGAGTGGAAAACAACCAAATGGTAGATATATGTACTTCTAGTAAGTATCAATATTTTTTGTTATTATTGTTGAAATGATAATTGGATTAAAATATTTAAGAACTTTAAATTGATTACAAATTTTAAATGTTGACAGTATGGCCGAATGCAAAAGGATGAAGGAAGATGGCACACACAACGGTTCAGTATGTAAAATGAAATTGACATTGAGTATTATTTAGCGTTAATGTATTGATTAAGAAACGTTTATGCTTAATATTAGGTGACAAAAAATATGAGGTCAAAATGGAATTCGATGAGTGATGCTGAAAAGGAACCTTACATCACACAGGCAAGGAATGATAGTAAAGAATACAAAGAACGGAGGAAAACACATGAAAAGAAGGTATTCATTAAACTTGTAAATACGTTGATACAAGATATATAAGAACAATAACATTATATATTGTTAAAAAATGTAGGAAGTGTTGACAAGGTGCAATATAAAAAGGGTGAATTCATTAATTAAACACCTTAAAGAGAATGATCAGTTGAATGTGCTGAGGGAAATGGGGTTTGGATTGTTGATAGAACTAGGGGATCGACCAATTCGGAGGGAATTGTGTCGATCATTGATGGAGCAATTTGATGTCAAACAATGTATTGCTAAATATGGTGATTATTCATTCCCTCTGGGGGTATCCACTGCTGCAGCCGTCTTGGGGGTACAAAACAAAGTCAAAAGTGTTGTAGAAGTCTATAGGAGTAAGAACTTGAAAGCACTTGCCTCCAAATATGGTTTGAATCAGAAGGTGACATATGCTGAAGTTGAAGAGGATATCAAAAGTGGATCTTACGGGGGGGATGGCCTAAAGGACCGAGTTCTATTGTACCTTGTCGGGATATTTCTTTGTCCAACGGGTGATACGTTAATGAACAAGGACAATATGAAGCTCATTTGCGATGAAGGCTTGAAGGGTGAATTCAATTGGGTTGAATATGTCCATTCGAGATTAATTGAATCAATAATCACCTTTCAAAAGGGCAGCCAAAGATACCTCAAAGGGTGCTTAGCAATCTTAAAGGTAACTGAGTTGAAGAATGTTTTCGTTTTTTATATAAAATAATAGTATAGTTATTATATAAAATGATAACTTTTATTATAAATACAGGTTGCACTGTTCGATTTTTGGTCGGGCTATGATAGTTTACCGGCTTATGAAAGAAACAGAATGGCACGCATCCGTGCATAGGGGAAGGAAGAGGTGGTTAGAGTGATGGCGAAGTTGAAATTGGATAGACCGAGGAAGCTAGAAATGGTAATAAATATAATTAAATAATATTAAGAATATAATCAATGTCTTAATACAAATTTAATTTTGAAGGTTATTGTCAAGGAGGTAGAGGAGACAGTGGAGGCAGTGGAGAAGGAAGAATAGATGGTTGGAGGGGTGGATGATGGTCAGGGGGATTACGGTGAGGGAGAACAGAGTAAATTCGACATTTTGATGTCTGAATTGGCTTATATTAAAAAAATCCTTTTTGATATTCATCAAAGACAATCAAGAGTCGAAGAGACACTTGAGAGGCATAAGGGGGAAGTGGAAGGAAAAATAAATGTAGTGGTGAATGAAGTTGAGGTGTTGAGGGAACTTAATCTGTTGACGGGTGGAAAAATTGATGTAGTTGTCAATGAGGTTGTGGAATTGAGGAGTGAACTTACAGGGGTGAAGGAGGTGGTTGAGAAAAATTTAGATGAATGGGGGAACATGAAGGGTGAAATAAAAGAGATGAAGAGCTATGTAGAGCAAAAATATGATGAACTGAAAAAATTTGAAGAAGAGAAGATGGAGGAAGGTCAAAAGATAGAGGAAATGGGGAGAAATGATGTCACTAACATCTATACACCAGAGAGTGTTATAGATGCAGATTTGGATTCAGAATGTCCTGTACCCCAGAAGAAGAAGCATAAGGTAAGTTGAATAAAAGAAAACTTAATTTGATTTTTATCAAGTTGTTGTGACAAAAATTTGTATACAAAACTGTAGGTTGAAAAGTGGTTATTCTAAGCGGAATTAAATCGGTCGAAGCTACAATTTGTGATTATTTATGGAATAGTGGGTTAAAATCGGGGTAAGTTAAATATATTACTTTGAGTGATATTTAAATATTTCATGACAATATATTAATCCTAATGATTCATACAGATATTCTGTAATCTCAATGGGAAATAAATACGCTAGTGTATCCGACGTTGCAACGTTGAAGTTTAGTGAATGAGTTGGTGGTGTGGTAAGTAGAAATCGATTAAAAGTTAAAATCTATTGAATATATTCTGGTTGTGTAATTAATTTTGTTAGGTTATTGAGTTGCTCCCCTGGACAGTATGCTACGATTCTAAAAAGTCAGACCGGATGATTGGCTACATTCCATACCACTTAGCGGTGAGTTAAATTAATAAATGTTAAAAAGTAATGTTATATACGGTAAATTAATAATGATTGTCACGTAATTGCAGCAACAGGCATTGGACAACATCTGTAATATTGAGGGTATAGCGAGTTTTTGGGGTCCCATATTGCATAACTATGTGAAATTCACCAACTGTGAGAAGGTAAGACACAATATGAATAGGCATAAATGATGTTTTTGGATATATAATGTTGAATTTTGTCAAATTGGGTGTGAAATTTGTTGCAGATCATGATCACAATAAACCACAATAATTCACATTGGTATCTGTTGGTGTTGGATATGGTAGACCATGTTGCAACTGTATATGATAGTTTGTTTACATCTGAAGCAACTAAACAAAGAGTGAATGATGCTAAAAGATTGGTATGTATGAAAGGAAATTATGTAAATTATAATGCATAATTTGTTTGGATCATAACTTCATATTTTTTAATGCAGATGAAAATATTAAATAGTTATAATAAGAAACACATTTGGGTAGAAGCATGTGGATCTCTAGGAAATTTCCCCTTGCAAAGATTCAAATTCGCGGAGCATAAGATGAACGAGCAATCGAATGTATATGATTGCGGCATTTATGTGATGATGTGGATGGAATCGATCGGTTCTAGAGGGGC